CGCGCCATGTGATGTTCTGAGCATCAATATTTTTTGCTATTGCGTCCAGAGTTCTTTTGGCAAGCATACTATTATTATGAGCACGTAGAAAAGGATTTGAGATAATTTTAAACATGTGATGTTTGTGTATTGTGTTAAGGGGGAACCCCCCCTCCGAAACCTATCTTCTAAACGATACAACAGATTTCGATGAAAATTTCAGGAAATAGAAAAGCTAATGTAACTAGCATCTGATAAAAATTTCAACCAATCATTTTTGATAATTAAGAAGCTATACTCAATTTACTCATGAAAACGGGGGTTTTGGCACGGAACATTTTCCCGATGCGCGGTAGCATGAAAAATGTTGAACTTTGTTTCAAAATGAAGAAAAATCTTTTATCTAGAAATTGTAGGAACAGTTTTTTGAAATTCGTTTTCGTTCAATTGTAGTAATCATTTTAAACCGAAAATCGCAAAAACTGCTTTGAGCACTTTCAAAGATTTTCAAATATCTAAACAATGGAGATATATTTTGAAAATCTGTTCCGACAATTTCTAGAAAAAAGTCTCATCTTTTAAATAAATAAAAATCAGCAGAGTACATCAAGCGGTGAACTGGGAAAATGTTCCGCAATGGTCAGAAAACGATAAAAAAGTGAAGCTGAGAAAAACGAATAACAACATTGCGACGTAGTTGATGATCTTCTTGCAGAGAGAATTCGAGCATATTATATATCACTGAAAAGCGCACAAAAAGTTCTTACAGTTGGTAGTATTTTCAAGAAAAAAATAAGCCGATTTCTTAAGCTAATTTCTGAATCCAAGTTCACTGTAGCGCCATCTTTTCGAAAAATAGCCTAATTTTGAACCTTTCTTATAAGACTGCAACATCCAAAACATGATTACTCGATACGGTAATGGTTTTAGAGTGCTAATAAAGAAGGTAGAACGATATTAGTTACCGATAATTAAGAAAGAAAATCAACAAGACAGCCGATTTTCCATTATAGCGTCCAGTAAACTTGCCAAAATTGGGCAAAATATGTTCCATTCCTATATAGTTTATACATATTCTGAAAGAGGACACTTGGGGCTACAAGAAGATGTGTTTTTCCAAAAATCGACTTTTCAAGGAAAAAACGACTTTCGAAGGGGGGGTTCCCCCTTAATGCATTTTTCACATAAATCATAACTAGATTCACATTGTTCACAGTGATGTCGTATCCCATCGGTCTTCTTGTTGACAATTGTTACAAGTAATGCCTAAATGTTCCAAGTTATGGGCACGCTGTAAAAGTTCGCTATGCGACGTATCTTTTGAAAATGTATGCATTATTGACGGATGTTCATGTGGCATGAGTGAGATGCATTTATTGCAAACACAGAAATTATTTGGACATTGATCACAGTTAAAGATTACGTCTTTTCCACATGCAAGCACGTTTAAACAATGATCACAATAGCCCAAAAACATTGTTAAATATTCTCTAGTTGCAAAGATCGACGTGGGACGTGCCTTAAGAAAGAGAAAAGTTACATGCCTGTCACTTCAAATATTCTAATGTAAAATTAAACGAAAAATGAAGTCAAGTTTAGTGAAAAAAATACTAAATAGAAATGGATTTGGATTGAAAATGTTCATGGTTTCATTTAAAATATGTGTCATTCTAGTTTTACCTGTAAATCGGCTTTAATTTCTACGGATTTTTCCTCCATCTCCAGCGATGACTGTACTGGTACCATCGACTTTGTTTTAGTACCTATCTATAAAGGACAATTACATAAACTGTTTTGATTAAACTCATTCAAGCGCAGTCTCGTGTTTACCTTGTCTAACGTATGATGATCACTGCTTGCACGATTGTGCTCCTTCTTCGTGCATGTCTTGCAGACAAAATGGCTCACACATTGACGACATTTGTAAAATCTTGATGATTCTGAAATTTCCATACCGCATGATGTACAAATCATGATTGGTGTCTTTCATTTAATGCAAGATGCTAATGACGATACTTTTTTGTGTCTACGTTTATTTATACCTATATGCAATATAGAGAAAATTGTCAATTGAATACAACGATAGTTAGATTATTCTGTCAAGTAGAACGTGATAAAATCACATGTGTCGTCACCCAATGATTATCACTTCGTTTTTATGAGTCATCAAAGCGAAAAAAAATCAATCTAGCTGATATACAATACTTTTTATTGAATATTATGGCTTTATGTCGAGCTCAGAACTCCTGAGTATTAGAGTATAGGATTTTTTTTCTATAGAAAATACCATAGATTTTCATTAACTGATTTTAAATCTCAAGGCTTGCTTGACTATGAGACATGTCGCAGTCAATCCTAATATGGACGACCACGCATGCAGTACCTAAAACCAACCAATAGAGAAAATTACTTCAAAATATCTATCGGTATTCGTGAAATATCTACATATTTTTTATAGTTATCGAGATTATATGCCGTCGATAAAAACAAAAACTGCAAAATTGGCAAACTTAAACAGCATGTAACCGTCCAAAAATCAAAAGATGTCACCATACACGCAAAGTATAACATAATGAAATATTCATGCACTTTATCTAATGGCAGATGCACCAAACGTTATCTATACGCACAGAACACCTGACCTGTTACTTTTGATACACATGCTATTTTATATATGGCACCGAAAAGTCAACCAATAATAGTATACTTATCTGAATCACTCTCTATATTGTTTAGTGCTACTTTTGTTTTATGGTTTGTTTCACTGAATTAGGTCTTCTTATGTTTTTAAGATCTTAACAATGAAAATTTTGAAAATATCAATAGGCTTAACATAAAATTAAGTGAGAAAAAAACTTTGCTTTTCATATCATATTTATATATTTAAACAATCATTTTATGGGATAATATTTTGAAAACATAGGAGCTTTAAATCGATAATCATGCAATTATCTGCTATAAACTTTTAAGACTCTATTGTCGATTTATAATGAAGAATAAAGAAAATAAAATATTGTCTTCCTTTTTTTTCTTCAAAAATGAGCCAATATTTGTCGAAAAAAGTTCAAATCGACTAATATCACCAAATGTTAAACGAGTGTTTATTTTTCTCTTAGAATCTTGTTGTCTTTCAATTTGATTTCTGAGAAATATTTTACATGAGACAAAATGACCGCTCAATAGTCACCTATTGAAAAAATGATGCCAATAGTCGTCTCTTCGTCTCTTCGAGCAACATTAACCGATTTAGCAGAACATAAAATATTTTTTCAAACCAATATATTCACAATATTGCCTTTGAGAAAGATATGATTCGATTGGTAATTATTCTATTTATAGTCATACCTGACTCAGTCGGTGTTTTTCACACCAGATCCAAAGTGTCTTAAAGACATTCTTCCCACTGTTTTTTCACATCCAAAAATTATATAACATGGATGAAGAAAAAGGAGCAACTTTTTCAAGCTCGAGTAAAAAGTCGAGTACAAATTGATCACCCCCTATAAATCTTGTCAGTCTTCTGACTACAATCGATGATAGCTTAATCAGATTGAACTGAAAATTGAAGGAAACTGTGGAGCTACTGTGTTCAAAAGTGTAATTAAAAATCAACAGATACTGAGATGTTATTGTCTCGTTAACCTTTGACTTTCTCAGAATATCGTTATATGGTTATGCTAAAGGAAAAAAAAAGCTGATTGTTTTAATTGTCATTGATTGCCAATGACTGTCAATGATTGCTTTGGTCGCAATCAGCTTTTGCTCCTTGAAATTTTACATGAAATCATTGAGATTGTGTCAAAATCGAACAGGCTAGATGATTCTAAACTCGGCTTAACCTATAATAAGATCGCATCATGCCATTTTAGAATGAAAAATTACAAACGTCGAAATATTATTTTTGTTTATTTAAACTTAGGTAAATGTTATCAAAGTCAAAACATTTATGATGATGCTTTACGTAATTATCATGAAGGCTTATCTCTTCCTTCAGAAAATCAACCTATGACTCTTGCAGAAAAAAATATATTTATTCAATTATGTCAACGACTAAATTTAGTGTATTAAAGTCTTATTCATTATATTTCAACATTAAAAATGCTTCGAAAAGATTTAGTAATGGCTTCCGAATATCTACCTCCTGATAGTAACACATTTTCATATTATTATGAAAAAGTTATCGATTTATACATACATTTTAATGATTGGAAACACAATTATCGGTTTATCATCCCATTATATTACAGTTATAGATGGTATTCAAGTTATTGGAAAGATATTTTGAGATGTCGAACATTTTGAAATAGCTTTAAAAAGCTTTGAATTAGCATTCACTATTGCAAGAAAATATCTTTCAACTGAATATCTATTACTTTCATCGTTATCAAAACATATTGAAGTAACAAACACAATAAAAAATTCAAAATAAAATGTTTAAAAGATATTAATAACCAATTTGATCAATACTTATAGTATTACTAATACTATTTTATATTTTCAAGGTGGTGTAAATTCAAAACGTTTCAATGAATTTTTTTCTCGATCGTGTATATATGGTTTGATAGAGTTTGAAAAGCTGGTCACGAATCTATACTTTTTATTTTGATTCGATCATTATTCGCCTGGAAAAATTCTTAAACACATCAAATGACTAAAATATAGTATTTGTACCTAAGAATTCGCTTTTTCTACAGAAACAGTTAATTTCCAATTACATTTATTTTACAAACTTTTTAAAAATATTATATTCTGAATCAACATGAAAAACCGAGTAAAAAGCTGTTATTTTATAAGACGTAAAGCTATTAGATTTTAAAAAAATTTTGTTCGATATGAATAGATTCATGCAACTCAAAGTATTATTCGTGAACTTTCTTGTAAACCTATCTAGTTCTTTTAACAAGAGATAAAAACAAGTGTCTTATCTCATTAGAATCGCCAGACGATGAGCTACAAAAGTATCTATCTCGTTTTTTAGATTCTGTTTCATTGTTGGTAAAATTGAATTTTTTTCCCGTCTAATGGTAAGATGAGGCGAAAGGGTGGATGGAGCCTAGGTACTTGCTATTGTGAAGAATAACACACCCACACCAACGTGATAAATTTCTATTTCGATTATGAAAATAATGTGAAATAAAGTGTAAAATATGTCAAAATGTTTAAAATTTGTTCTGATGCTATAACGACCCAAGCGAGGAAAAACATAAATACCAGTTTATAGTCGAGCATATTTGACAACTTGATGATTGTTCTCATCAACTACATACAAATTATAATTCGAATCAAAGGCTATAGCTGATGGTTTGTTGAGCACAGGTGTGCTACCACTACCTCCAACAACAGTGTTACCAATTGTTGAGTTGACACAATATCTTACAATGAGAGAACGACCAGCATCAGCAACGTACAAATTATTATACAGATCATAAATAATACCTCTAGGCATGCCAAGAGTACCTATACTACCATTGACTTGAGTTAAAGTTAAGTCTGGGGTTGATGCGTTAAATGTCCACAGATAAATACTATTACGAGATTCATCACTTAAATAAACCTGATTCGTTGAATTAGGCGCAAGAAGAATTCCGTAAAGTCTGCCAATGATGTTGCTACTAATAAGAAGAATGCCAATTGCTGCATTCGGAGTCCATTTCACTACTGCAATCTAATCATAAAGTATGTCTCGAGTTGCAAATAATTGCTACTTTATCATTAAACGAATTTCAAAAAAGATTGACTTGATGAATATGCCCATCGTTCATTGTCACTATCAGCGACGTAAACATTCGAATCATCGTCAACATCTATTCCAAATGGTCTTCTGAGCGAGTTCAGTGTTGATGAGCTCGTACCCGTTTGTCCAGCAACGGTTGTACCGGTTAGAGAATTGTGAGGAAAACGCTGAATTCGATTATTTTGATTATCGACTACATACATGAATCCGTTTTTGTCAAAAGTTAAACCTACAGGATTGTTTAGCAAAGTCGAAGTCGAACCTGATGAGCCGCTACTATCGCCAGCTACTGTTGCACCACTTGTCATACCCAAAGTCCAATTTTGCACGCGATTATTGTTACTATCCGAAATGAATAGAGTGTCATTAGCGTCAATATACAAACCAGCTGGAGCATTGAACTGGTTAGTGTTCTTTCCATAAGTGCCACTTCCCGCGACACGTTCACCTGTTTGATTCCAACGAAGATTCGTACCTAAAATAATACTTTATACATTGAACTCTAAATATTAAATTATAAAATAGCAGACAGGAATTGAAGGACGTTGTGGTGGTTGTCGTTGTCGTGGTGGTACTAGTGGCCGAAGTGGTCGTAGTTGCGCTGGTGGTTGTGGTCGTGGCCGTGGTAGTGATCGTGGTAGTGGTTGTGGTGGTGATCGTGGTAGTGACTGTGGTGGTCGTAGTGGTTGCAGTGGTCATGGTGGTAGTCGTAGTGGTCTTGGTTGTGGTGGTAGTGGCCGTGGTAGTGGTTGTCGTCGTAACTGAATGAAAAGAAGTGAAGACTCATTCACCGACAGTTCCGCGCGCGACTTTTCCACACCAAATACTTTTATGCAAATGATTTTTTTGTTTTGTTTCATGAAGAATGAATAGCTTTTCCAAACTTCATGAAGTACAGTTCGAAGGGCGTGTAGAATGGATGTGAGAAGAAGTACCTGTGAGTCCTCCTTTGCATTCACATTGGTACTCAAACTCACACTGGCACTAATACATCACATAAACATAGAAAAAAAATCCTTTGGTGCGGGATTGTGGGCGGGAAAATGTCGCGCGCAGAACTCTCGTGTCATGGTAAAGATCATTCTTGACGCTGATTACGTGTGGTGAAATACCTGAAGTGGAACTTGTTGTTGATATCGTCGCTAAAACAAAAATATCAAGAGAAATAAGAACAAGTGCCGATTGATAAGTGAACATTTGTTTGAAATTCCGGAACTTAAATGTCAATCAAATCTAGTTTCACCTGCACAATGGGTTCTACAACTTCATAGAGCCGAATATATTTCATGTTTCATTTACTGATTAACCAATATGAGTTTTTCCCATAGTGGTAGCTCTAATTTTTCGGATTTGTCTTTCAGAAAAAATCGGTTCGTCAACACTTCCGAGCAATTGAAATTTTTGTTTTTTTTATGCAAAACTAATAGCTATTGCAATTTTTATAAAGAATGGTTTACGGATTGTGAGGGAAAGTGCATATGGATTATTTTGCGCAGGAGTGTCAGTGCGAAAACGTTGCGCGCAGAACTGCTGTGTTACGAAAAAAATACTAGAAGCCTGAAAAAAATTTTGAAAAATATGGAACTACGTTAATTTGTAGTGGTACGTCTTAGATACATTGCTATATCAACATAAAATGTATGCCATTCAATGAAAGTGATAAATTTCTGTAACAAGAACTCCTTCTTTTGTAACCTTGGTAGTCGGATAACTCACAGCTAACTCAATAATTTCACCTGAAATTTTTACTAAGAAGTTCTCAGAGCATATATGAAGGTCTCCTGAAAATTTTTATCAGATCCCTTTTTCCAGAGCAAAAATAACTTTCTAACAATTTGGTGGCTGAAGACAACAGCTCTGATATTTAGCATTTTGTTTAATTAAATATTATGTCAAATTTAAAGATTGAAACTTACTTAATGTTGATACAATAATTGATGCACTTCCGTCTGTAGCATTAATTTTATCAGGATTGGATGTAATCCAGAGTGCAAGTATTGTAGCTAAAACAACTGCACCCAGTAAAATACCGATAATAAACCACAGACAGCATGATGAACAACACCATGGTGAATAATGGTGAACTCTTTTACTAAGCAAAACAAAATATTATTGCAACTATACTGATGATGAATGCTAGCGAATTCATTTTCAAGAAAGAAATCAAACAAAAATTTTCTATCATCTTTTGACTCAACAGCAAAACAAATATTGTTTTGTTACCGATATCTTTGTCTTGATTGATCTGTTTTCTCGCATCGATTAATAAATGATTTCTCGGATGAGAGAGAGACAGGTGCTGACCAGTCACTGAACTGTTGATTTCGTTTGACAGGCATTTCAAAATATGAGCTAGTGGCAGCTAGCAAATATCTATCGAATCGAATAAGATGGAGAGAATTATATTGCTTTTCAATTCAAATTTGCATATCTATCCGACATTTCTATGAGTGCCATATGCGCAGTAATTTTTAATCTTGTTCGAAGCACATCAAACGACTACGTAATTGATTACTTCAAGAGCTTCGAATTCTTTCTAGTTTATTAAATTCTATGTGTTCACATAATCAAGAATAGACCAATGCAAATCAATTATATTTGCAGCTCTTTGACTAATGACAGTGCACAATACGCACGAAGTAATTTCTCTTCTACGTAAAAATGAGAAGAAAAAATAATGACGGATGATGGAGTTTTTCGTATACCGTCGCGTTCGATGTTACGGCAAGATGCAAAAGCTCAATCATTCCTATGGATGCAAGTATAGTTTTGCATACTCTCTAGGCAGCATACAGTGGCAAAACAAAAAACGCTGCTATGTGTAACTTATTGATAAAAAATCAGGATGTGAGTGTGATGAGAAGAACATTCACATTCACATCCACATCCTATAGGACTTTAGGTGAAACTTATCGCGAACTGGAAGATTATTCAATGACATTGACATATTTTCGAGAGGGACTAGAAATATATGAAAAGAAGACACCAAAAAGTCTTTCGAATTGAGTAGTGATCTATTATATTTTTGTTACTCGACAATATAATATTGCAATGACAATTGTCAACAAGCGGTATAGATATTGCTTAACAGCAATTATTTTCAACTTATCCTCATCTCTTGAGGTGTAAAGAAACTTTTAATACAATTTATCTCTGACTTGTTCAATAAACTCTTTCTAATTGCTATTCAGTGCCTTGGACTTTTCTCAGCTCTCTTTTGCGCTCGAACGTGTGCGAGCAGGAAGATGGCCCATGAGCCGGATACGAATGCGTGCAAGGTGGACCACACTGAGCTGATATGCAAAGAAGGGTGTGGGTTTGGGTGCGGAGCAGAGATGGAACCGGTACTAAACAGGATGCTGATGATACGTCAGTTTATCAAAGAAAATTCGACCCACCGTCAAAATATCGGTCTACAGACAACATGCTGAGGCTTGAAATGAAACCTTGTTTCACGGTGAACTCTCGTGCGGGCTACCTTCGTACCTTCACGGATAATGGCATAATGCTTCACCGTTGATAACCATAGTCTCACTGATGGGCATTCTAAAAACTATTTGTTAAATAAATTCGTGTGTGATCAGTGGAACTAGTCTTGGTTTCAGTTATTTTTTCATGTGAATACCATCAAAAAGCAGAAAAGTGAAAAATTTAGACTAGTATAAGGCGGTTTCGACCGGTAGACCGGTCAATCCAGATTGGTACCAGACCGAACCGGCCGGTTACCTGTATCGGTTCCATCTCTAATGTGGAATGTTGGTGTGGATGTGGTTTGGGTGTAAGTGTGGGTGTGGGATGTTGACGTGTATGTGACTTGGGTGTAAATGTGGATGTCGGTTGATATATAGAGAAAATCTTAACCAACATCCACACCCAAATCCGCACCGGACGTCCACACCCACACCCACCCCTACCCCACTTCCACCCACACCACACCCACACGTACACCCACACTCACACAATCACATCCACACCCAAAGCCATCCAACACGTACCTTTTCAATATTAAATGATTCAAAGATACTCTTTTGTTGATTAATAGGATTTCCATTGATACTTGTAACGGAAGCAGAAACCTTTTCAGAGCTTAATTTTTGGGCTTGCTTCTGAGAGTTCAATACAGGATTTGGTATGGTAACGCTTTAAACGAACGGTACAAAAAAGGCGCCCAGTATCGGTACAACTTTTACTTGTAGAAATAGTGGTAAAATAATTGCAGAGATTGACATCATGATGGATTCAGAGTTTGCAATCTACAACAAAAGATAAATGAAATCTTTACTTAAATAGATTTAGTGAGAATATCTCAAGCATCGATAATTTAAAAATGGAAAGTTTAAAACATGTTATTTATCAGAACAAAAAGTGATCTGAGAATCAATGCCTGAATACTAAGGTAACACCAATCTAATACTTTAAATGAAAGTGCAATAAAAGGAACGGATCCAAACACTAATATAGACAAATGGTACAATATTATATATACTTTCATTCTTATACCCTTTCCGAGAATTTCTTCCAAGAATTCAACAGCATCGTTTCCTCACCGATTCTTGTTTAACAGCATAAACACTTTTGGTAAGGAATAAAATGCAAAAAAATCAACAACTACTTTCAAAAAATTATTTAATATGATTTAGCATAGCGGCTCACAGATAATATGCACAATTAAAAAGTAAAAAGACGTTGATTAGTTTTGGTACATCATGCACGCCAGAAACCAGAAATTTTTCATTCATCCATCACTATCTGTCAGCTCTTCAGGCTTGTTCTTGCACTAGAAGTAAAGTATAAGAATAATTATTACTAACTATTGAACCTTAGCACAAATATACCTTGCTCCATTCTGAAACGTTGTGCATGTATTTAATTCGAGAGCCGACGAATAAAAAGCTTAAACAGATCCTATATTATAAGAAAAACCTTTAGAGCACATATAAGAAAAATTGAAGATGAAGTATCCAAGAAGCGAACTCATTGAAATATATTGAAAATGCATATCTTGCAATATTCGATATTTTTTCAGGATGAAATGATAAATCTTCAGAAGAAAATTCATCGACATGTGCCGCAGCGGCAAAGCTGGATTCTGATGTCGATATTACGCAAATGAAATATTTTTCATTTTTTTCGAGACAAGTAGTGCTTTATAAGTATTGATTTCCTGTTGGAAGAGTAAGTAAAAAGTTGATTTTCCATTTTTTGATGCCATGCGTCTGACCCGAATATATCTCAAATGCTGCTTAATCTTTTCCAGCAAATCGCTATTTGTTAGATTCGTACCCAACGATTGAAACATTACGAGTCGGCATTCCATACCTGCGGAGAATTTGTATGCTGCAAGAGATAAAAATAAGTCTAAACTCAATAGCCTGTAATTTCATAGAATAACCACTTTCTTTCTGCATATTCTTTAACAGTCACGATCAGCTGATCAGATATGCAAGGACAACAATAAGAAACAAAATTTTCTACAACAGACAAAACCAACTTATCAGTATTGATAGATTCGTTATATGTGATATTAACTAATCAAACATTGACGCTCATTCAGTACTCTGAACATGAGATTATGTCCGAGAACTAGTAAACCCAATAGAAATAAAAACCATCAATCGATTTATTTTATTTCCCTCAAATATAAATAATCAAAGATTAACATATATTCTATTCCAAAGAAATATTTCGTTTTCATTTCTCTTACTGTATCTTACAGAATAACATGACAACAATAAATGATTGAGTATTCTCAGTATATGATCTTT